ACTTGGTTGCGACCGGCGTGTTCAACCACCTTTTCGTAGACAATTTCATTCATCAGTTGGAAGCGCTTAACCGCCTTTTTCTCTGTTATACCAATGTACTGCTGTTCCAGAGGGACAGGACGATAACTGCGATAGAGGGAATAGTTGATAAGCGGGTAGGCAGAGGAGAAACGGAAGAGCAAGAAAGTTACTACACTAGCTCAAACAGAAATAAAAAAACGGATAGTATGCGACTGCAAGTCAACGGGACGAGCCTTCAGCCAGGAACAAGGACAACACATAATTTGGACTCTCGTATCGATACAAGTAAGTCGATAGTCCTGGATATAAACAGGGAGTACTTAATAAACTGTAACTTCTTCATATTACGGTACAGGCCCGACGGAGAAAAATTGACAACGTACATTCGCCGAATTTGAGTTGTTCAATGTTTACATGGGTATCATCTAAAAACTTTAGAACGGGGGAAACCGTTACACCGAGGACGGTTATGCAAACAATATATGCCGGAGTTTACTTTAAAAACAGCCCGCATCGCTGGGGCCGAACCCACATATGAGTTGTCCTACTGACTACGATTCGACTGAAGGTCGACTGTTCTCAAGCTAATTCAAAGAAGTCTGCTTCCCAGATTTCGGAGAGAGGAAATATGTGAGGAAATGAAACAGTTGAAAAACCATAGCTGTCCGTCTCACGCGTAAGGAAGATTAACGTCCAGCCATAACAGTACGGAGGATGCAAACAGACTTTCAATTATGACGCAAGTTAGGCCGATGACCTATAACCCAAGGGCTACGACACACACACATATGACCTATAACCCAGCTGTCGTAGTTGCGACGTATGAACCAGCGCTGGTCCTGTGTGACCCCTGTGGTCCAGTTCAGTGACTTTTACTCTTACTCTTGGTACCTTTTTAGTCTTAGGCACAACTATCGGGTGACAGAAATACAATGAAAATGAAAATCGTTGATAATGGTGATGGTGCTAATAGTAAGAGTAGAAGTGGTCAGCAGGTGACGGTTCGAAAGTCAACTCCGACGATTTCTGCCGCATTCTGCTGCATTTACCGCACTCCCACTCTCCTAGGCTCGATTTGATGACCAAGTCGAGACCAGAGGTGGGGGCGAAAGAGAGATGTCAGCAACAGTCGGTCTTCCGACCCAGTCAAGTAATCGCAGGGGCCAAAGTAGCTTAACTTCAGTGATTGAGCGGGAACCGGTGCTGCCTACGTGATATGGTCACTGACGGCCAGCAAGTAAATGCTATTAGACATGACACTTGACGAATTCCTGTTTCAACATGTACGAAC